ATAGTTATAGACACGATAGTGATGCAGAAGATACGCAAGCATGGATTTGTGGGGGACATTAGCCTATGTAAAGTCATTGTCAATATTAACTAACATTTGTTCTAATGGTTATAGACACGATGGTGATGCAGAAGATACGCAAGCATGGATTTTTGGGGGACATTAGCCTATGTAAAGTCATTGTCAATATCAACTAACATTTGTTCTAATGGTTATAGACACGATGGTGATGCAGAAGATACGCAAGCATGGATTTGCGGAAGACATTAGCCTATGTAAAGTCATTGTCAATATCAACTAACATTTGTTCTAATGGTTATAGACACGATGGTGATGCAGAAGATACGCAAGCATGGTTTTGCGGAAGACATTAGCCTATGTAAAGTCATTGTCAATATCAACTAACATTTGTTCTAATGGTTATAGACACGATGGTGATGCAGAAGATACGCAAGCATGGATTTGCGGAAGACATTGGCCTATGTAAAGTCATTGTCGATATTAACTAATATTTTTTTCTAATGGTTATAGACACGATGGTGATGCAGAAGATACGCAAGCATGGATTTGCGGAAGACATTAGCCTATGTAAAGTCATTGTCAATATCAACTAACATTTGTTCTAATGGTTATAGACACGATGGTGATGCAGAAGATACGCAAGCATGGATTTGCGGAAGACATTAGCCTATGTAAAGTCATTGTCAATATCAACTAACATTTGTTCTAATGGTTATAGACACGATGGTGATGCAGAAGATACGCAAGCATGGATTTGCGGAAGACATTAGCCTATGTAAAGTCATTGTCAATATCAACTAACATTTGTTCTAATGGTTATAGACACGATGGTGATGCAGAAGATACGCAAGCATGGATTTGCGGAAGACATTAGCCTATGTAAAGTCATTGTCAATATCAACTAACATTTGTTCTAATGGTTATAGACACGATGGTGATGCAGAAGATACGCAAGCATGGATTTGCGGAAGACATTAGCCTATGTAAAGTCATTGTCAATATCAACTAACATTTTTTCTAATGGTTATAGACACGATGGTGATGCAGAAGATACGCAAGCATGGATTTGCGGAAGACATTGGCCTATGTAAAGTCATTGTCAATATCAACTAACATTTGTTCTAATGGTTATAGACACGATGGTGATGCAGAAGATACGCAAGCATGGTTTTGCGGAAGACATTAGCCTATGTAAAGTCATTGTCAATATCAACTAACATTTGTTCTAATGGTTATAGACACGATGGTGATGCAGAAGATACGCAAGCATGGATTTGCGGAAGACATTGGCCTATGTAAAGTCATTGTCGATATTAACTAATATTTTTTTCTAATGGTTATAGACACGATGGTGATGCAGAAGATACGCAAGCATGGATTTGCGGAAGACATTGGCCTATGTAAAGTCATTGTCGATATTAACTAATATTTTTTTCTAATGGTTATAGACACGATGGTGATGCAGAAGATACGCAAGCATGGATTTGCGGAAGACATTAGCCTATGTAAAGTCATTGTCAATATCAACTAACATTTGTTCTAATGGTTATAGACACGATGGTGATGCAGAAGATACGCAAGCATGGATTTGCGGAAGACATTAGCCTATGTAAAGTCATTGTCAATATCAACTAACATTTGTTCTAATGGTTATAGACACGATGGTGATGCAGAAGATACGCAAGCATGGATTTGCGGAAGACATTAGCCTATGTAAAGTCATTGTCAATATCAACTAACATTTGTTCTAATGGTTATAGACACGATGGTGATGCAGAAGATACGCAAGCATGGATTTGTGGGGGACATTAGCCTATGTAAAGTCATTGTCAATATTAACTAACATTTGTTCTAATGGTTATAGACACGATGGTGATGCAGAAGATACGCAAGCATGGATTTTTGGGGGACATTAGCCTATGTAAAGTCATTGTCAATATTAACTAACATTTGTTCTAATAGTTATAGACACGATGGTGATGCAGAAGATACGCAAGCATGGATTTTTGGGGGACATTAGCCTATGTAAAGTCATTGTCAATATTAACTAACATTTGTTCTAATAGTTATAGACACGATAGTGATGCAGAAGATACGCAAGCATGGATTTGTGGGGGACATTAGCCTATGTAAAGTCATTGTCAATATTAACTAACATTTGTTCTAATGGTTATAGACACGATGGTGATGCAGAAGATACGCAAGCATGGATTTTTGGGGGACATTAGCCTATGTAAAGTCATTGTCAATATCAACTAACATTTGTTCTAATGGTTATAGACACGATGGTGATGCAGAAGATACGCAAGCATGGATTTGCGGAAGACATTAGCCTATGTAAAGTCATTGTCAATATCAACTAACATTTGTTCTAATGGTTATAGACACGATGGTGATGCAGAAGATACGCAAGCATGGTTTTGCGGAAGACATTAGCCTATGTAAAGTCATTGTCAATATCAACTAACATTTGTTCTAATGGTTATAGACACGATGGTGATGCAGAAGATACGCAAGCATGGATTTGCGGAAGACATTGGCCTATGTAAAGTCATTGTCGATATTAACTAATATTTTTTTCTAATGGTTATAGACACGATGGTGATGCAGAAGATACGCAAGCATGGATTTGCGGAAGACATTAGCCTATGTAAAGTCATTGTCAATATCAACTAACATTTGTTCTAATGGTTATAGACACGATGGTGATGCAGAAGATACGCAAGCATGGATTTGCGGAAGACATTAGCCTATGTAAAGTCATTGTCAATATCAACTAACATTTGTTCTAATGGTTATAGACACGATGGTGATGCAGAAGATACGCAAGCATGGATTTGCGGAAGACATTAGCCTATGTAAAGTCATTGTCAATATCAACTAACATTTGTTCTAATGGTTATAGACACGATGGTGATGCAGAAGATACGCAAGCATGGATTTGCGGAAGACATTAGCCTATGTAAAGTCATTGTCAATATCAACTAACATTTGTTCTAATGGTTATAGACACGATGGTGATGCAGAAGATACGCAAGCATGGATTTGCGGAAGACATTAGCCTATGTAAAGTCATTGTCAATATCAACTAACATTTTTTCTAATGGTTATAGACACGATGGTGATGCAGAAGATACGCAAGCATGGATTTGCGGAAGACATTGGCCTATGTAAAGTCATTGTCAATATCAACTAACATTTGTTCTAATGGTTATAGACACGATGGTGATGCAGAAGATACGCAAGCATGGTTTTGCGGAAGACATTAGCCTATGTAAAGTCATTGTCAATATCAACTAACATTTGTTCTAATGGTTATAGACACGATGGTGATGCAGAAGATACGCAAGCATGGATTTGCGGAAGACATTGGCCTATGTAAAGTCATTGTCGATATTAACTAATATTTTTTTCTAATGGTTATAGACACGATGGTGATGCAGAAGATACGCAAGCATGGATTTGCGGAAGACATTGGCCTATGTAAAGTCATTGTCGATATTAACTAATATTTTTTTCTAATGGTTATAGACACGATGGTGATGCAGAAGATACGCAAGCATGGATTTGCGGAAGACATTAGCCTATGTAAAGTCATTGTCAATATCAACTAACATTTGTTCTAATGGTTATAGACACGATGGTGATGCAGAAGATACGCAAGCATGGATTTGCGGAAGACATTAGCCTATGTAAAGTCATTGTCAATATCAACTAACATTTGTTCTAATGGTTATAGACACGATGGTGGTGCAGAAGATACGCAAGCATGGATTTGCGGAAGACATTAGCCTATGTAAAGTCATTGTCAATATCAACTAACATTTGTTCTAATGGTTATAGACACGATGGTGATGCAGAAGATACGCAAGCATGGTTTTGCGGAAGACATTAGCCTATGTAAAGTCATTGTCAATATCAACTAACATTTGTTCTAATGGTTATAGACACGATGGTGATGCAGAAGATACGCAAGCATGGATTTGCGGAAGACATTGGCCTATGTAAAGTCATTGTCGATATTAACTAATATTTTTTTCTAATGGTTATAGACACGATGGTGATGCAGAAGATACGCAAGCATGGATTTGCGGAAGACATTAGCCTATGTAAAGTCATTGTCAATATCAACTAACATTTGTTCTAATGGTTATAGACACGATGGTGATGCAGAAGATACGCAAGCATGGATTTGCGGAAGACATTAGCCTATGTAAAGTCATTGTCAATATCAACTAACATTTGTTCTAATGGTTATAGACACGATGGTGATGCAGAAGATACGCAAGCATGGATTTTTGGGGGACATTAGCCTATGTAAAGTCATTGTCAATATCAACTAACATTTGTTCTAATGGTTATAGACACGATGGTGATGCAGAAGATACGCAAGCATGGATTTGCGGAAGACATTAGCCTATGTAAAGTCATTGTCAATATCAACTAACATTTGTTCTAATGGTTATAGACACGATGGTGATGCAGAAGATACGCAAGCATGGTTTTGCGGAAGACATTAGCCTATGTAAAGTCATTGTCAATATCAACTAACATTTGTTCTAATGGTTATAGACACGATGGTGATGCAGAAGATACGCAAGCATGGATTTGCGGAAGACATTGGCCTATGTAAAGTCATTGTCGATATTAACTAATATTTTTTTCTAATGGTTATAGACACGATGGTGATGCAGAAGATACGCAAGCATGGATTTGCGGAAGACATTAGCCTATGTAAAGTCATTGTCAATATCAACTAATATTTGTTCTAATGGTTATAGACACGATGGTGATGCAGAAGATACGCAAGCATGGATTTGTGGAAGACATTAGCCTATGTAAAGTCATTGTCAATATCAACTAACATTTGTTCTAATGGTTATAGACACGATGGTAATGCAGAAGATACGCAAGCATGGATTTGTGGAAGACATTAGCCTATGTAAAGTCATTGTCAATATCAACTAACATTTGTTCTAATGGTTATAGACACGATGGTGATGCAGAAGATACGCAAGCATGGATTTGTGGGGGACATGTGGCCTCATATCCAGATAATGAAGCTCTCGGGCTTCTGGATGTTTGAGTACTATGAGGAGAATGGTGGGGCCATACACCTGATGCGTATGCTCTATGCCGCGATCACCACTATTCTCATGGTCATGCAGTTTGGCTTCATCCTATTGTTTCTCATTTTCGACACCTACAACGGCGACCAGATAGCTTCAGCTACCATCAGTTTCCTCTTCTTCGCACACAGCATCACCAAGTACTTTTACTTTGCGTTTCGCAGCAAGGCCTTCTACAGAGTGTTAGGGTCATGGAATCACGTAAGTTTAAAATCCGGGTTCATTTAGGGTTAGTGGGCTACGCCACAATTTTATTATATTTTGATACTGATTGTTTTTTTTATTTTACGCCAGTTAGTCAAGAAACTAAATGCATTTATGTCATTCAATAAATTAATAGTTGCAACAAATAAGATAAAATAATCTACAAAAATAATACCTGTTTATTTTATCTTCAGTACACATAGTTGAAATGGACTGGAAAACAATGCTTATGTCCAGAAACGTAAATCTAGAAATAATTATGTCACTACAATCTACATTTTTAAGAATTTGAAAATTCACCCGTTACTACACTAGAATTACATATTAATAAATATGCCTTCTTAAAAATATCTATTGATACAAAAACCTTTGCAAGACCACACCAAGGAAAATGTAATATTAAATTCACTAAACAATTTCATTTAGACTGGACTAGTTATTATATTTGCATGGCATTGGTCCAGTCTCAATTTTGTTTGATAAAGTCTCGATATTTCTAGTGGAAGTGATAAGAAATAGTATACGGGTTTGAAGTAGGTCATTGGACGTTGGGGATGAAAGAGCTTATACAATCCGATTGAAAAGTATTCCATTCAGATACTTTTCTATTACGATCACCTTTTCTTTATAAAAAAATAAGTAAATATAATAAAAGTGTATTAAGAATGACTCAACTGTATTATGATGCCGTTAGCGATATTTTGAAAGTTTCTACTGATTCTTTCTTAAATGTTGCAATTTCACTTTCTTTACGTAAAGTATGGCTACATAGTAAAAGTTGGGTCGTTACTAAATGTAAATAATATTTAAGATTTGTTAAGTGAGATAGGTTATTTGTACTGTACCATTAAAACTGTTGACTGCATCATCTTTCTGTATACATACACAATACAGTATGGGTTTTCTCTGTTACGTCCCTTTTTCGGCCGTCCTGCTCAACCGATTTTTACTACTGAGGCGTTATTGTAACGCTTATAATTTAGTGGAGCGACGAATGGTAATTAAAAAGATAATTTCCTTTAGGGCTACGCCCCCTTAAGGTACATAGCTGTTGATTGTGCATAGAGGATTATATCAAATATGCAACATATTCTCTCTGGGCATATCATGATTAACTCTGGACTAAAGTAGGCAATCATGCAACGAATTTATACACATTTTGCTTTTTTAATATTACTTGTGTGTAAAGGTTACAAAATGTAAGAAGCGAAGTTAAAAATGTGTTCTCAAAAGGGCAGATAAAATTAAAAACTTCAATTCAGGCAACGCCATTCAAAGACAATGTAGCTTAACATAATGATAACCATATTTGTGCAATGAAGATAGCTTCTTTGCAAATTTGCAACTGTTCTACAGACATTTGTTTTTATGTGAATGGACTTTGTAAATGCAGTATTTTTACACTTGAAAACAAAAGCAACATTCAACTTTACAAAGGTAAACATATTTTTCTTTAGAAACTATTGGCACAGATTCTGCGAGGTCAAACATTGACAAATTGTGACATAAACATGTAACATGAATTGTTGTCAGATCAACTCACACCCTCTGTTCGTGGAGTCGAATGCTCGCCATCGCACTCGGACCATGCAGCGAGTCAGGCGGCTCTTGCTCATCATAGGTATTGGCACTCTCATGTCCGTCATGGCTTGGACCTTCAGTACCTTCATCGGACCCTCTACTCGCCAGATCCCAGACCCGGACGACGGTAACCGCACTATCTCCATGGAAGTGCCTAGACTCATGCTGGGCACCCATCTCTTCTGGGACGCATCGACTGGAGCCAACTACGTGTTTACTTTTACTTACCAGGTGACTAGAGCCTTTTAGATATCCCATTGCAAAGTTTAAGCTGTAGCTAGTTTTAGAATACAAATCTACGTAGTTTGGTTGAACCGGACACAGTGCCCCTGGTGTCAATTAGGGATATCTACAGAATTCACAAACTTTCTTACCAAGGAAAACCATTAGTCCAACTTATTGTAAATTTTAGTATATTTTATTTTACATACAACATTGTAGGACATGTAACTGAAGGAAAATATCTACTTTTGACACCATAGCAATCTGTGAGTAGCTCATTGTTATAAGTTACATTTCAATCAAAGATTTGCTTCGTGCGTATAAATGTGAAGTCCACTTCAATATGGAAAGATAATAATAGAACTTGCCCGAAGTCGTTCGTAAAACTATGTATTTGAAGATAGTAGATGAATACAAATATTTATTCTATATCTATTGAAGTTCTAAAATAAGAGTTCACAAATGAGAAAGTTCCAGCTATGTTAATGCAACCAAGTATTGGAAATCACTAAATAGTACAAACAATCTAAATTAAATTCATACAAATAAGTCAACCTGATGAAAACTATTCAGAATTACGTCAGGTAATTTACAAGTAGTAAATTAAATATTTTATGTGGATGGCTTACTACTTGTCTATAAACAAACGTCCGATGAAAGGAAATTGTATTCTAATACAGCCGACTACAAATACATTAATATAAAGTCCACACCTATTTTTAACAAGTGAATTAGATTGCTTTACATACTGCGACAATACAGGCTTTATTCATTAAGAGCATAAAATTGTTAAATCAGAAACTATTTATTCTAAATTACCTAGTTATCTACGTTAGTAATACTACTAAATACAGTATACTTATTTTACTCATAAAATAATTTCAGATAGGCAAGAAATTCAAAATATCTTTTTAATTTTTTTCATGTTTAACTTATGGCGTAAATAAATAATGGTAAGCGTCGAATGTGAAAAGCATTATTGTTGACAACTTGTTAAAGCTGTTAACATAGCTGACAAATATTATAAAGTTTTATAACAAACTTGTATAACTGTAATGTATAAGTGTGCAATTTTATAACTGTACATAGATGTAGACATAGATGATCCTTATCCCTTGACCTGCCTCTCGTGTGAGGTCATACGAGTCCTCACAGACATCAAAATCTTACGAGGAAAGGTTGTGTTTTACTATACAGTAGAACCTTGATAACAAGACCATCATGGTGATTTTAAAATACGACTTGTTATAAAGGTTGACTTCTTATCGAGATTTGTTAACGTATGTGATTAGGGAAAAATAATTTTAAGGAGATTTGAAAATGACACTTGTTATCAAGGGTGACTTGTTATCAAGGGTCTTCTTATCAAGGTTCCGCTGTATCTTGAATTATGGGTTAAGTCTCTGAATCACTAGAGGATTGATCAACTAGTTATAAAGAGTTTACTAGGGATCGATGTGCTAAATGGATGGTAAAGTTTTATAAATGTCAAACGTACAAATGATGTAAGTTTTCCAAACAAAATTGTAAGTGGATGATACCTTACTATCGAACAGGGCTACAATTTGAGGTATACTCACTTCAGTAAAGAATGACTCAATAAAGAAGTAGCAATTACCGTGGTCTTCTTCGTAACGACTAATTCAGGGTTCCGCTGTATTTTTTAGTGTTTGTGAAGACAATTCATTATTACATGGCAACTACAAACTGTAATTTGAACCACGATTGTGAATTTCTCATTCTCCAAAGTCCATATTACTAAAATTATTGAATTTAATATTGGAGACTCACATAAATTTTCTTTAGACCAATCAGGTAAAATCTAAATGCTGTCTTTGTTCAATTGTTTGGATATTTCCGTGTTAAAATCGACTACTTCACATTTACGTACTTAGGTATAAAAGCGAAATACAGGTATGTAGACACAATTTTTCACATTTTGGTAACTGCAGCTTTTATAGTCCGAATTTCCCACCAATATAAATAACTGGACATTAACCGTACTACAAATGTTTTACCTCCAACATTCTTTCTGTATACGCCAGTTGTACTTCTTGATGTTCGCCCTCACCCATGCTAACCTGATGGACGTGGTGTTCTGCTGTTTCGTCATCTTTGCATGTGAGCAACTCAAGCACCTGAAGGAGATCCTAAGACCTCTGATGGAGCTCAGTGCCGCTCTGGATGTTCCCGTGGATAACCCAGAGAGACTCTTCCGCCGAGACAACAGCAACGCTGATCTTCCTCTATTGGGTATGTGTTATAGTCCAGGGCTAGGGAGGTGACTTTTAGAACTAATTTATGTATTGATGATCAACATTTTTATGGCTAAGGGTAGTCAAATATCTGTTTGGGTGTTTGACAAACCTTCCCACCTCTAAGATATAAAATATGCCTATAACCTCCAATTTGCCACATGCACCTAACATGCTTGAGCGAATGACGAGACAAGAAGAGCTGGGTGCGCTGCTACAGTACAAGATTGAAATGTAGGTCTACTGATAATTGTTAAGTGGCGGGACTAGAAAGTGAACCCAGAAAATCGATGCCTTGGTTTCTCGGTTCGACGCGCTACCGGCTGATAAACCGATTTTCCAAATAACTTCTCTATTTCCAAGCGCATGACTTCAATATCGGCTTTCATCATGCCATTGATATAATCAACAATAAGAACCTCAAAATTATTTAGTTATGACTATGTTTAGGTTGTATGTGTGTTACGTCGCTCAGTTGATATACCGAACAGTAAGGTTTCTAAATAAACTTTGGACCAATACGTAACCATTAGTTCTACGCATCATTAGCCCGCCTCCCACACTACTCATAGTTTTTTGCAATAGAATGTAAAAAATATTTACAGACCATAATAACTACTACTACTACTCTTGACATGAACCATTCGTTTCTTGTATTAAGTAGAACCCCGTTAGTACCCCAAGAGCTATATTGTATGGTATTATTTGTAGTTTTAGTTTGCAACTATTTCGTCATGTAAACGAGAAACTGAAAAAAGTTATTTACACGAAAGTCAAGAATAATTAAGGTTTTAACTGTTTGTTTACAATCGATAGCTTTTTTATGAATTTCTCTATAGGGACTAGCAGAGTACCAATCCTTCGTACGGGATTGGCATATAAAGTATAAATGCTTATTGCAGTTATACTTAAGCGTTGCGTTTGCAATGTAGGGGAGGCACAGTTTGGTCAAATTTGCTTCTTTAAATTTACAGTATATAATAGTATTACACATCTACCATAGCCATAATTTTCTGCTACTTCACCTAAACAATAGAGAAAAATAAATTTTTGAATTCGCAAAATATCACAAATTATTCATGAAATTAAAAACTTAAACATAACTGTAAACAATCCTAATTTGACAGTTCTCATTGCGTATCACAGTGTTTTGTTGCTGCTTAGTTCAAATTAGCTGTTTTCATAAATTAAAAAAATAATAGTGCTGCACTCTGTTGGTAAATTTGATAACTTTTCATGCTTTTGCATATCATAGAACCAACTATTTAGTTGAAACAGCTGACTAAATTCTTTAATTAACTTGAAATATCAATACCGTACTCATCACGTTACTATGGGGAACCACAGGGCCATTAAGGCGAAGCCCGGAAGGATTTTTGAGATAAGAATATGCATATATGTTAATCTGGAATGTGAGCTATGATCATGCCAAATTTCAGCCCAATCCGTTCGCAGTAGTTAATGAGTGATTGAGCAACACACACACAAACTCACAAACTTTCACATTTATAATATTAGTAAGATATACGTCCGTGGTGAACGGGGTTTTATGAAAAAAAATGTTTTTCCCATTTTTGACCCTCAAAACACAATATTTCCCATTTTTTCTCTGGACCTTTTTAAATAACTTAAAAAAAAAAACAGATAATTTAGCATATCAAAGCGTTTTTGTATGGTTATTGGTAACGGAGAAAAGTTTAAAAAAATGCCCACATGTTATTCTTATGGAGAATATTGTAAAATGTTGTAGTTTGCTTGTTTATGGATATATTTTGATCAAACTTGGCAAATCTATTTATTGTATACTCGGCTATTAATATTTTACTTAAAAACACACTTTATTAGTTTCCTTGTAGCAGCAAACCTAGGTACTCATTAAACTTAAATTTAAATAGATTTAATTGAACATGAATTCAGACAAATGGAAATTGGCTTAGTCGGCAGGTTTGCTGCGGCGCGGGTATTTATACCTTCGTAAACAGTTTGAGCGTAGAATAGTTATTTGTGTAACTACCAGTGGATGAAGTGGCAGAAATATTACGCTAGAGCCGTAGGCGAGTGTGGAAAGTTTCTCGAGTGCCGCAAAGGCAGTTTGCACCCGTGTTACACATTATATTTTTCATACAGTTACTATAAATCATATAAATAATTAGTCTTTTAAAAACTGTATTACACGTTTTTTGGTTAGGTTAAATCCAAACATTGAACGAAATGGGAAATGCTGTACCAGCTGATCGTAGTCGTAGTATCTTAAGTGTTGCCAGCATATTTCCAAGCGTACACGGATTACGTGCATAATTAAATCACGATGTTTTGTGTTGTTTGGTTGGAATACTGGTGTTCGACAAAGTAAAAACTGTGCTACAAAGAAAAATGTGTGTGGCAAAGTAAGTGAATGCAGCAATTAACAGTTTTCTGTACTATAATCATTGCAAGGAAGCCCACTTTATCGGTTGACTGTAGGCAAACAATGTTTTTAGTGTGATAAGCATATACTAATGTAGGATTTACAAACATACTGTTTGGGCTATTATAAGAACCGCAACACTAAAATGTAAGTTATGAGGATCATTTTAAGAGAAAGGAGATGAGGTAAAAATAACACTTGAAATCCCATTTAAAACTTCGCCTCTCGCTGTGAGTCCAACCGTTTTTGCGCTTACGGATAAACATTACATGGTAAAGGTGTTGTATTACTTTGCATTGTAGCTGTATTTAGTGATTTGTATTTACATTTCAAATACTCTTTTTTATGTTTTCAAACGAAAGGTTTAATCGAAAGGTGTTTAAAAGTGCAACGTCCCCTTTGAATGAACAAGAAATGTAGTGCATAGGCATGACATTGGACCAGTAAAATAAACTTAACTGATCTATACAACTCCGGATGTGTCTAGGTTATGTTTCACTATCAAAATATTTGTCATTAACCCTTCCCACGCGGCAAACGCATATATACGCAGGCCTCAAATTTTGCCGAAACGCGTAATCCGTATATATGCGTATCTTCTTTATTTATAGTCTGTAGTTGGTGTAACGTCCGCTAGAGTTCAGGGTTGTATTGGTTTGTGTTCCGCTGATATTGCCGAGTGCACCCGAATCACTGTCAAGGTCGCTGGCTCACTAGTGGTGGGGAGGGAGGGGGTTTTGTTTGTCGCCGCATGGAATTTTCCGTGTCTGTGCGGTAGTCCCGCGCTAAGTCCGCATATATACGCACGCCACGTACTGCTGCTATTTAGCGAGTTTCTTTGTTTGCGTTGAGTCCGTACGGCGGATATTTAGTGAGTTTTATTGCTTGTGTTGTGTTCCGTGTGCTGTGTGTTATTTTCTTTATTTGTACAGTTATGTTTTTCTGGGGTTTCTAGCCAATAATTTTTTCTTATAATTGAAAATGGCGAACCCTGATGACCCGGACTTCAACGTCTTTGTAAATGATCTAATGAATGCTTCTTTTTCGTCCGCATATGTTGATATGGATATAGATGACAGTGACCGTGAGGACGCGCTAATATATAACAATCCTGGTGAAAGTGAAAGTGACGGAGAAGTCAGTCAACCCCCTCAACCTCTAGCACTGCCGCTGGATTCACAACCACCTGTCACACCCCTTCAACCTCCAGCATTGCCCGGCTCCACAACTGATACCAGTCACACCACCTATGATGACCTTATAAATGATATAGGCCTAACAAATACTTCCTTCTCGTCTATAATTGATGTTATGGAGATAGATAGTGACCGTAAGGACATTTCTGTCACATCACCGCCGGTTTCACTACCGACACCTGTGACACCGCTGCCGACTCCACTACCAACACCTGTGACACCGCTGCCGGCTCCACTACCAACATCCGTGACACCGCTGCCGACTCCACTACCAACACCTGTGACACCGCTGCCGGCTCCACTACCAACATCCGTGACACCGCTGCCGGCTCCACTACCAACACCTATCACAGACCCTCAACCTCCAGCTAGGGCCAAGCGGTCTCGTGGTGTCAAACGAGCACCTGTGACACCACCGGCTCCACAACCGACACCTGTCACAACCCCTCAACCTCCAGCTCCGGCCAAGCGGTCTCGTCGTGTCACACGAACACCTGTTACACCGCCACCGGCTCCACAGGCCCAGCCTCCACCCGACTCTGCCGACCTGCCTACCGCACAACTCAGCGACTGGGTTGACGTCACTGATAACGACCCTGGCCCTTCGCATACCATCCCGATATATTCGGTAAGTGCTGGACCTGTACTTCCTGCCGCGTTCGATAGCGAGTCAGAGCCCATTGATTATTTCAAATTGTTTTTCAACGATAACATATTTGATCTTATTTGTACTGAAACAAACTTATATGCTAACAAGCGGAAAGCTCAGTGTAATTCACCCCGTGGTAGAATAAACACGTGGAAGGACATCACCCCTGTTGAACTGAAAGCCTTTTTTGCAACTATAATAAATATGGGGTTGATTCCACTACCGTCTATTGAATCCTACTACTCGACTACCTGGATAGGGGTGTAGGCTTTCTGCCCATACGATAATCCTATTAGTGACGCTCGGCTGACCTGTCAGGGCTACCCGTCCCTGCGTTGGGGTTGAAGATGAATAAGCGTAGGACAGTGGAGGGGGTAAGACGCCAATGTAGGGGAAGTTAGTGCGAAATGGAGAGAGTGAAAGTGATGTAGGGTGAAGAGAAGGAAAGAGGTAAAAATTCAGCCATAAGGATCGAACTGATCAACAACTCACCCCATTACATTGTGATCCAATGGTGTTTATAATTTTTTATGTGTTCAGTGGCGTCATTCGCCTATTAGGCGGCCTGATGATTGGAGTGTTCAATCTAAATCAATAATCACTTGGGCAAATAGTACCTAATATCCACTGTAAAAGGAAAAAAAGAACTGTTGCGGAGGACCTTTGCGGTAATATTTATTTACCGTATTGTGAGTTAACAGTATATTGTGTAAATAGCCTAAATGTATCAATAGTGTTTTAGACCT